GGTTGCCAATCGTCTTCATCTGACCAATCAACAATCTTTACTTTACCCTTTTTAACTTGACTGTCATATTGTAAGAAAAAAAACATGAATAATGACAAGTATTATTATTTAACTAGAGTAACGACGAGTGGCGGGCGATAACCACCACCACCATCCTTAAAACACTTACTCATCATTCCTCGTATTATTTTCTCTGGTTCTTTTTTTAGAATCTTTTTTCGAAGACATTTTTTTTTAAAAAATAAAAAGAAGTTTGTGTGATCAACGCGTACACATTAATTATTTATCCTATTGGTTTTTTTTTTTGGTAGGACAGACGCGAATTGATTTTTTTTTTTTTTTTGGAAAGACAATTTATTTTTTGACAGAGCCCAAGGTGACAAAATGTGAGTGTTGTTGTTTGTTTGGTTTGGTTTGGTTTGGGTCTCCTAAAGAATACGTGTTAATAACTAACCAGAGGTACTTTTTTTTATTTGTATTGATATTTTTTGGTTATTATAATGGAATCAAAACGCGGAGCAGATCTTGTTGGGTAATTACAAGATTTTCATTGATAATATTTTGCTTTACGTAATCGTAATAATAATAATACTAATATTAATATATAATTACAAGATGATGTCAAGGCAGCATTGACTGTTGAAAAAGAAACAATTTGGTATGCAATGTTTGATTATCGGAAATTTTCAAGTGTTGAAGTACGCACACCACCTTGAACACATTTACAGTCATTCTCACACGTTTCTCATGTACATAAGGCTAATCTGACTACGTTTCTCCCGATGATATGATGATGTTGAAATCTGGGGGGGGGACGCAAAGCTCTGGAGTTTACCAAGACTGCATCAATTGTCAATGACACTTTCACTAATCTTCCCAGACCAGAGAAGGCTGCTGGCATGCTGGCCGAAAAATTCGCCTGCAACGATCCCACCTCTAGGGCAAGGATGGCTATATGATCAAGTCGCAACTCTGTTGATGAATTGTAATATTAGGTGCGCATAAACATCCGGATCCATCAAAGCAACAAGAATCTGCAACTTGTTTCAAGCACCAGGAGGTTACAATTCAGAGCAGGGTTGGTGGCCCTGAAATTGCATCCGGACTCTGATGTTAAGAGGAAAGTCGTAAAATGGTGTTTGTTTTGTATAATCATTTTCCTAAATGCTCTGTTTTTCTTTAATTTTTGTCTGACCAACTGAATTTGTTATTTTAGTAAATGGGGTAGGGTTGTTGGTGAGTAGGCATGCCACTGACAAGACAGGGGATGCCTTTGGGATATACCAGCCAAACTCATAGAAAGGGATCTTTTGTCCAGACTTAGGGTCACATGGATGTTAAGCACAGAAAATGTACACTATCAATGTATATTTTTTTCAACAAAATAAACATTTAAATAATTAATTGTTAAATACTAATACTTTTCTTTTCATAAAAATTACAGCAACCCAGGACTCAAAACTCTGAATCCAGGGAAAATCCAGGTTGCAACCTCCTGAGTTGCTGAAATTTCAAGCCAGTCTTAACAGCAACTTTTATGCTAGTGTGGCAATAACATGCAGCAATTATCACACAAATGCCAGCTATCAGCAATCAATGCCCATATGGTGACAGCCAAGCCTGGTCTGAAAGGAAGATTAGGAAAGTTTTGTCCAAAGCCTTCCAACTTGTTCAAATCGCATTCACCTGTGGAAAAAATTCCCATAGTGCTGAATGGTGCTTAATTGCACGGAGTTTGCATGTTTGTGACAGGAAAATTTTAATTAAATCTGACACATGCAATCAACATCAGATTTATTATTCATAAGGAACCATAATTGATAATCAGGAAAATTAATTTATTTTGTGAACCCCAGAGATCTGGGTAGACATGCATTATTAAGAGTTTTGTTTATGTGTGGCCTTGGTATCATTACTACCTGGGCGATGCAATTGTTTGTTATGTCAATGATGATATCAAATGTATCAAATAATCATCATGACCATCATGAATATTTGATGGATGGAGGCATTCACATACAAGGAAATGAAGGAAATGATTAAATAGCCAAGTCATGTTTGTTTTGTTAAAGAAATATGATCAATTATATTTAAAATATACAATAAAAAAATTGCAAGATGGTACCACTATGTCAATCAAGCTATCAAGCTGTTATGTTTGTGCATGATTTAAAATTCTTTTGTGCTCCCATCTTTCTTTGCTTATATATAATCTATTGGCTCTCTCTTTACTGGTCAAATGATGCCAAATTGGGTAATGGGGTATTCAGCAAATATCAGAATCTGATTATTCTTTAAAAAAATAATCAAGGTATTAATTAGCATACTGTTAAGTTAATAATATTTTTACCATATTCCTATAGTAGAATTATTTAAAATAAGATTATCAATAAGATTTAGTTCACTATTTTTTTCTTCACATGCATCAGTTAAGATAACAGATAGATAATCTTGAAGTTCTTTATCAAGCAATGCTTGCATATCTGGTGTGATTTCAAAAAGTTCTTGAATCTGTAATGAATTTAATTTTTGATGTAACCAAGGGTCCTCAATAACCTGTATATTATTAGTGGGATCAAAATTAAATGAAATAAAACTTGTAACAGTATGGAAAATTACTGTATTATTTCCACGGTCTAAGTAGTTTTTTTGTCCCTTTTGTTCATTGTCAAATGCCAAAAATAATAAACCATTTGAAAGTGGTGTAGCTTGTGAGCTAAATCTTCTTGCCACTGAATAAATTTGTTGAAACCACCAGAACTTAAAAAGTGATTATCAATATCAATAATTGTTTTTGATTTGGCTAAAGAATATTTAATTACTGATGCTGCCAAATTGATAGCAGATACAGTGTGTAACAAAAATAATTGGAAAATTATTGCAGTTGTTTAAATGCGTGTTTTGTACTCAATTTAAACCCAATTCGCGTCGCGTCACTTTCAAAACAAACACAAATAATAAATTTGTCTTTTTAGGTTGTTTTTTTGTTTATTATTTTTCAATTGTTGTAAAAAATTAACATCAAAATGTCTACATCCGACCAAGAAAGACAACGTCAGACTCTATTACATTTCTGGAACCAGGGTGTGAGGTCTGCCAAAGAACTTCACACTCTGACGAAGATTCCCCTTTCTACTAAATATTTTAATATTAAAAAAATTAAGGAGACAAATAATATTTTGCATAAAGGTGGTAATGGTCAGCCAAAAAAAATTACTGCAGATGTTTCACGTTCAATCGGGCAGGTTATCAGAAGAGATACCTCAATTTCCGTAAGATCATTGGTAAACAAAGTAGCAGAAAAAGGAATAGAAGTGTCTCACATGACTATTTCGAGACATTTATCTAATCATGGTTATAAGAAAAGCCTTCCGCAAGCCACCCCTATGCTAACAATGGTTCACAAGGAGAAAAGAGTTGAATGGGCAAGGAAACACTTAAATGACGACTGGTCAAAGATGTTATTCACTGATGAGACAGCCTTTCAATTGTTCAGGAACACAGTGGAACGTTGGCATAAAGGTGTGAAGCCAGTTCGTCGTATGCCAAAAGACAGAACAAAAATTTTAGCATGGGGTGGATTTTGTGTAAATGGAAAAACGAATCTTTTTTGCTTTAGTCAAATAATGGATGCAAACTTTTATGTGGATATACTTAGAAATCATATTCCAGAGGTCAATGAGATGTTGGGGGATGTTTGGCGGTTCCAACAGGACAACGATTCTAAACACACCAGTAGAATTGCCCAAGCATTTCTCAATGAAAATGTTCCTGAATTAATTGACTGGCCATCCAACAGTCCTGACCTTAACCCATTGAAAACCTCTGGAGTATTGTTAAACGAAATGTTGAAAGAAGGATGCCAAAAAATTGTGATGAATTAAAACATTTTATGAAGGAGGAATGGGATAATATTCCAAATCATGTTTTAATTAATTTAATCAACTCAATGAAAGATTGTTGTGAATTGATTATTGAAAAAAATGGTGAAAGAATACCATATTAATTTATAATAAAATAAATCTATAGGTAATAGTGATTAAAATAAGTTATTGCCCATTCATTCCGGTTTTGTTGTTATTCTACAATATTCAATTTATTTTTTCCAATTATTTTTGTTACACACTGTATATATGGATATGCATTTTATACATTTAACTTTGACTTCATATATATATTTATTTATTCTAGGCAGATTATTTTGTGGTAAAGGCCACTGTTACTGACATAAATTGTCACAGTGGTTTTGTTTATCCTTCATGCAATAGTTGCAGAAGGAAAGCATTCAAAAATGGTGATATTTGGAGATGTGATAGATGTTTTGTGTCATTTTCTGCTCCAATTTACAGGTATAATGTTGTTTTCTAATTGGATTTTATTATTATTATTATTACTATCATTATCTCTCTCTTAAATCTTAATGATTATGATAATTAATGTCTTGTTTATTTGTTATAGATACGATTTAAAAATTCATATATCAGACCATACAGGGGGCATATGGCTAACTTGTTTTGAAATAGCCAGAACAATTCTAAATAAGACTGCTATTGATATGAAAACATCCATAGTAATTATTTATTTGCTTAATTGATTTTTGATTTTTTTAAGACATGTGGTCAACTTCTTGATTCTCAATTTTGTGATGCTGAAAATACTAGTAAAATACTACCAATTAGAAACACCATATTGGATTGGAATGCAAAAACATTTATAATGGGAATAATAAATGTGGTACCATATGGTTTTGGACTTTTTACCTCAGCAGATGATGTGGCTAATCATGCAGAAAAACTTATGTATGAAGGTGCTGATATCATTGATATTTGTGGCATATCCACAAAATCAAATGGAGATGTCATATCTGTAGAAGAGGAGATTTCATGTGTCATCCCAATTATAAAAGCCATAAAATCTAAAAAAAGTGATCATGTTATTATTTCTATCAACACATTTCGATCTGAAGTGGCAAGAAAAGCAATTGAAACAGGAGCAGATCTTATCAATGATATTTCTGGTGGGAGACTTGACCCGAATATGTATCAATGGAAGAAGCAAATGTACCAGTTTGTCTTCAACATATACGTGGTGATTTAAAAACAATGAAAGGTTTCACACAATATGATGATGTGATTTCAGAGATCAACAATGAACTTTATGAATGTGTCCAAAATGCAATTGAATCAGGTGTTAAATGTTGGAATATTATTGTTGGTCCTGGCATTGGATTTGCCAAAAATTATGAACAAAATTATGAAATTTTAAGAAGGTTAAAAGAATTCAATGGTAAAGACAGCAAATTAAAAGGATTTCCTTGTCTTGTTAGGTTATCATCCGAAGATTTTATTGAATCAACTTCCAACAAGAAAAAATATGGAACAGCAGCTGTATGTGCTGCATCCATTGCAGGTGGAGCAAACATTATCAGAGTTCATGATGTTGTAGAGATGGCTGTTGTCTCTCAGGTTTCTGACAATATTTGGGAAAAAAAATTTTAATAAGAAAATAATAATATATCACATTTTACCAAGCATCAGGAAAATGGGTACAAATATTATGCGTATATAATACGCAATTGCAGGGATTAAGCATATAATATATGTACAATTTGCATACATAAAAAAATACGCGATTTGTACGCATATTATATGCTTAATCCCTGCAATTGTGTATTATATACGCATAATATTTGTACCCATTTTCCTGATGAATTTGTCAACCTAACAACAAACCTGTTTTTTTTTACATGTGTAAATACTATCTTACAATTATATAATAAGATAATATCATCAATCAAACATTTTTATATATTGCTTTTTATAATATCAAACAATAAAGACACTAGTGAATTAATAGAGATTAATATCAAGTTTTTTATCTAAATGCTGTGTTTCATCTCTCTGCTATTAATATTAAAAGCGGTTTAAGGTTTCATACAGTTTAGAAATTTGAACTCATTTTCTAATCTAGTTTAGAATAAATTTAATTTTGAATAATTCTAAAACTCATGAGTTTTGGAAGGCAATCCTTGTCATTTCATCAAAATTTACTCAATGGTTGTTAAGATATTTTTGGTTGAAAATTTTATCCAATAATAATTGTGGAAAAATGTTGCAACACTTGTCCAAAATCCACAATAACTGTGGACTGACAAAATGATTGTGGCTCCCATCTTTAATCAAAACAATACTTCAAAGAATGAAGAAAAGTTTGATGGTAAATCTATTGGGTTATGAATAGCAGGTATAACTTTTTTAGGTTTTATAATTGCTAATTTATGTTGTTAAAGGAAAAATAAATAAATCAATATTGTAACAATGAGATTATTTTTCTTCTAAGGATTTCTGTTTTTTGTTAGGTAATAATGCATCATCATGATGCTTTCTTTTTCTAACATTTATTATTTTTCTTTCTTCTTGGTAAATTTCATAAGTAATCCTTTCTTTTCTTAGATAAGCTTCAAGTACCTGAACATCATTTATTTTGAAAATGTAAGGAGCAATTTTTTCCCCTTGTTCTTTCTTCAAAATACTTCTAATGGTGCTGTAATTCTTGGGTTCCATAGTAGATCTGATGTAAATTAATTTCATATTAACTATTTTTATATAGGGATAGTTCTATATATCACTTAAGATAACAAATGGGATATTATAAAACTGTTAATAATTATAATCACATTACAAATGACTAAATTTTGATCCCTGAAATTCTTGGTAATACTAATGTTCACTTTGTCTGGTTTTGTTGCAGCATGCCCCATATGATAAAATATAAATAAAATACAAATAAGTTAGTACTATTTGTTATCAATCGATAATCATTTGTAAGTATCCAAAATAATTACAGTAACCAAAATAATTACAAGTATCCAAAATTATTACAAGTATCCAAAATAATTACAAGTATCCATAATAATTATGAAATAAATTATATATATTCAAATATCCTTGAATAAATTGATTTTTGAATATTCATAAAAAATTTGATTTTCGGTTAGGAACACTAGTTAGATGTAAGGCTCCAAACAAATCAATGAAATTCAAACCAAATTGAATTGAATTGAATTGAATCACTTAATTTTTGATTCGAATCAGTTCAAATTGAATTTGAATCGAATCCGAATTGTACTTTGATTCAATTCGAATATATAATTTGATTCGAACAGATTTGAATTCAAACTGATTTGATTCAATTTGAACTGATTTGATTCAATTTGAATATATAATTCAATTTGAACTAATTTGATTTACTTGATTTGATTCAAACTGACTGATTTGAATCTATAATAATAACTGATTTGAATCCATGATTTGAATTAAATACATTATATATAATTAATGAAAAATCTTTATTTTAATGTATATTTTATAATTTTATTTATAAAAATATTTTTTATTTTATATTTATTTATATAATATAAATATTTTTTTAATAATTTTATTTAAAAATTTATTGTGAATCTTTTAAAATGCCCTTCCACCAATTTTTAAGGCACATACAGCACCTAATTGTATCTGCAGACAAACTGCATCTAGTTGGTGCAATTAAATCAGTACCACCAGAAAAGATCCTTTCAACTGGGACACTAGATGCTGGAATGGCAAGATAATCCCTTGCCATATTGGCCAGATGAAGATATTCCCAGCTCATGCATCTACAAAAAAATCATATCATACATTTTAATTAACAGAGCAACAATCATTGACATGGTTAATGAAGAAATTGTCACCCATTACGGTCACCAACCAAAGGATAAAGTATAAGAAAGGAGATCAGGAACAAGATATTGTTGCAACCCTAATTAGTCAAAAATGTAAAGCTATCTAGATGAATTTAGGATATGGTGATATGAAACAGTAAGACTGCCCAAAATACAAGGAAGTGTTGACAAAAGGTTAAACTACTTGGTGGGCAAATTGAAAAATCAAAAGTATAATGTTGTTTTAGAATAATATTATGTCCTTGGGGAACTTTTATCAGAAAGACCTTCAAACTACAAAGCCAAAATAATTCAATGTCTGGATTAATTTAAAGGAATCAGGATGGCAAACATAGCAAGAAGAACTTATACATTATTTGGAGTAGTGGGATTGCCTTACTTAACAGTAAAGAAATTAACCCCTATGACCTTGGGAAATTTTACAGAAAAAGATTCTGAAGAGTTCATTTCAAGATTAAGGACATCATGATGGAAAATCTAGAACAAGATTAGCAAATAGAGGTTTAATGCAATGTTAGGAATTAATAAACAGTATGATATTATGTCAAATACATGTCATCTCCATTCAAGAACATCTTGATGCATTCTAAAGAGTCTATTAAGAACATAAATAACTGAATCAATTGCATAAGTTCTTTCCAAATCAAATGATTTAGAGTCAGGAATCATTGGTGCCTCCAACCTAATAGAGCTATTTGATGGTAGTGTTAGTTATTGACTTAAAAAAATATAATAACCTTAGGCACAAATAACTTAAAAATTCTTCATGATATCTTGAGCTATGTCATGACCTTCATGCAAAAAAGAGTTGAAATGACCTTCAATAAAGATTTTCTGATTAAAACAGGAACATTCATTTGATCACAATTGCATTCATTAAATTGGTCACAAAAGCTAATAAACTCTGGAGTTTTTTTCCAAACTCTCTTGTTCAAGATATTACTTAACCAAATAAGTTGCTCTTCCTCTAACTTTTGATTTATTTATTCTTTTACAATAGTCATATCAATTATACCATTTAAAAAAAGTGAGCCCATGAGTTTTTTTCCAGATTCATTTTCTTTTGATTTATTAAGTTCAAGAATCTCAAGTAAAACATCTCTTACTAATTTCACATTTATCATTTAAACTTTGTAAAGCCTGGAAAAAGGAGTAAGTATATTTATTAATTATTAAATACAAGTAAAAACAAAAATCTGTATTTCCATTTTCTTCTTCTTGATTAGAGCTCCGAACGAGTCGGGTCGGTGGTTCAACCCGACCCAACTCGAACTTTTAAACAGTTGACCCGACCCGACCTGTCGGGTCAACGGGTCACAGATTAAGAAAATTACAAATGTAGATATATTAATTGATTTAAATATATACAGTACACAC